TACTAACAATGCCGAGGTTTACGAAAGAGGAAACCTGGAAGTTACTTATGTGATTAGTGTTGTTTCAGAGAGCAGCCATTGCCGCGCAGCGAAGGTTAGCCGAAAAGAGACGAGAATCACAGAAGAAACAAATGAGACACATGGAAGTTGTATTATGATAAGAACTTCAGACTCAATATAGAAACTAGCTCATATTTGTTATTTGTACGATTGTTATTGTTATACAGGAGTAAATGTTCAGCTAGGCTTGCTCTTTCTTTGGTGATAAGGTGTTTTCCTAGAATATCTTGGAATCTTTCTTATGCTTTTAATGCCTTTTCTATTGCAGAGTTTTTTTTTTCAGGTGAATGGCTGAAGTTTTCTAAGCGCAACCCAGCAAAAAATGTCGACTACAGTACGCGCACCGCGGGAACGGCAATTTCACGTTGTACCTGTGCCGGGAGTGTTCACAAGAGGACGATGGAAGTGTCGTGATTATCGCGATGACGATCATTCAGAACGTGATCATATTTTGGATTTCACAGAAGCCCGAGAACGAGAGATCACGACTGAGACTGGAAACGCTGCGGCCGAGAAGGCGCCTTCGAATGAACGCACCGCGGAGTCGAAATCTGCCCACGACGTGAAGGAATCTTCCACCATTGTGGTCACCTCCATTGCCCCAGCCCCTGTAACGCCACAACGTGCGAATACGCCTCGTGAAGCCACTGAGCGTGCTATGCGAGATTTGGAACGAGGACATCAAGCCAAGATCCTTTCCTTGGACAATGACGCTGTCCCTCCAGTACTACCCAAAATGCCAGGTGCTGAAGGCACTACCAGCCCAGCAGACGAGGAACATCCACTTCCAGGCAATGGTGCCACTCTACCAACGCCAAATGTGGTCGCCATTGACAATAAAATCGAACAAGCGATGGATCTGGTAAAAACACATCTAACATTTGCCGTTCGAGAAGAGGTGGAGGTGCTACGGCAAACGATTGTCGAACTTGAACAGCGGGTTGCATCGTTGGAAAGCGAAAATCAACTACTACGACAGTATGCACCAGCAGACGTCCTATCCAATATCAGTACATTAGTTCAGCAAAGGAAACTTGCCAGTGCCGCTGCACCACCAGCGCAAAATCCACCCGCTGCTGCTCCCCCGAAAAAATAACGCCGGTTTGT